AATCGCGTCGGTGGACGTCGGTGGAACTTTATTGTTATTTGTCCCGGCTTTCCTCTCACAATTAACAATGATGAGTCACGCTTATTTAACATCGAAGGTTTGGAATTGTTCCAGAAGCTAGTCGACACTTTCGATTATAATTTTTCCACAAATATATGAAGGCGTCGATATCATGCAATTTTATACCGGACATGTTTTGAAGATGTCTACGAAAAATTCAAGAATATTAGGGATTATATATAGGAGATCTATTAGTAGATAGTATTCAGTCTCCGATTTGATATTAGTCAGAGAGTTATTGTTTTTTGATACAAAAATAGATAAAGAAACAAGTTTCTGTTGACAAACGTTTTTGGGCTATGTTGAGAACAATATAGGAGTCAACACTAAAAACTAATCTTAATGAATGTATCATATGCATTGTAGTAAAACAAACAGATAATATTCTCCCTTCATGCAAAAGTTAGTCACATTATGAAGATATACTAAAAATAACTCCTACAATTCATAAAGTGAGTTATCTTTACAAAATTCATTGTGAATCATAATGGGCTTTGTCTGTCAAAATATGACTTAAGTTCTTCCTGAAATTAAGTTAGTTTGTGAAACACTTGTCGGGAAGAGTGTGGCAGTTCTGGTGTATGTGAAAAGTATGTTTGTTTGATTCATTTCTATGCATACTCTATATTGATCAATACATAGAAATTAATCCAACAAAAATACTATTGTCATACACCAGAACTGTCATAATATCCTTGCCGCGTGATTCACCAACTGACTTGATGTCATCAGGAGATGGAAATCTGAGCTGCAGTGGTCTATGTTGAATGTGTAATTTAGTACTTACCTGCGACATCGAAAAAGCAGTGGCCAAACAAATTACTACATGGGCTGAAAAGTCTCGGACCTAACATATAGATGGCACTAGTTTTATTGCATTACTAACCTTCAAAAGAAAGCTTTTGAAATTTCATGATATTGTACTCATAAGTTCGTGAGTAGAACTTGTGCTAAGTTTGTGTGCTAAGAGTGATACTACTTTTGTTATTTTCAAAACAATGGTTTCCCCATTAAACGTTGGTTTTGCTGATTTCAAACGTAGTCGTACAGACCCCGATGATGCAGAACGCAGTGGACGTCCAAATGAGGCAGTAATACCAGAAAACAAAAAAAAACTACAAAATCGTTTTAAATGATCGAAAACTGAAGTTACGTGAGTTAGCTTACATTGTAAAGTTGTCAAAAGAACGTGTTGGCTTTATATTACATGAGCATTTCACTATGAGAAAGCTCTGTTCAAAGTGAATAACGCGCGTGCTCACTGTTGACCAAAAACAAGAACGTCTTGATGATTCTGAGCAGTGTTTGGCCGTGTTAAAACATAATAAACCTGAATTTTTGCGTCGGTATGTGACAATGGATGAAACGTGGATCCACCACATTACTTCGGAATCAAAACGATCGTCATGTGAGTGGAGAGCAACTGGTGAACCTCGTCCAAAGCGCCCAAAAGCAAAACAATCGGCTGAAAAGATTACGGCCTCAGTATTTTGGAATGTGCGTGGTGTAATATAGACTATCTTGAGAAGGGAAATACCATCAACAGTGAATATTATATAGCGTTACTAGAGCGTTTGAAGGTCGAAATTACAAAAAAAACGACCGCGTATGGCAAAGGAAAAAAATTATTTCATCAAGACAACGCATCATGCCACAAGTCAATCAAAACAATGGCAAAACTGCATGAATTGAACTTCGAATTGCTTCCACATCCACCGTATTCGCCAGATTTGGCTCCCAGCGACTACAAGCTGTTTACAGCCCTCAAAAATGCTCATCGGTAAAAAATTTCGCTCGAATGAAGAGGTTATTGCTGAAAGTGGGACCTATTTTGAGACAAAAGATAAATGTTGAAGCGATGCCGGACTAAATCCAGTTTTGAACACAAAAATGCGTTTTCTTTCTTAGGCCCGGGACTTTTCAGTCCATGTGTTTGATAACAATCCCAAGGAACATTATCAAAAGAAGTGTGTTTTCTCTCTGAAAGCAGACAAGAGCAGTAAACAAATACAATGCAAATTACTACGAGTACCAGAGAGAAAGATAATTCAACTGAGAAAGTTGCTAAGAAACTCATTGCCTAATATTGTTTCGAAAGTGAAAACCACGCTCAAGAAATGTCAAAACTTGATCTCATCGTTCATTACGTTCACGTGTGAATTTGAAAAGGATCAAATCTACCATCGCTAGAGATAAATGCGTTTGATGTAGGTACATAGACGAAATACTTTCAGATGTATTCCTGAAAGCTTTCATCATTGTCCGTTACAAAAAATTACTTTCTATTCTCTCCACATTTCTTTCTCACATTGCCCTTAAGTGAATACATATATGATATTGAGACGAATCTTATCGGGGTCATAGCAATGATTATTTTCCAAACATAGTGATAAGTTGATCAGGATCTTCATAACACATTGAATTTTCGAATTGGTATTCATTTGTGAACCAAGATAGACTGAAATATCGAATCAAGTTTTCAAAATACTGGAGATGAACGTTTTTTTTACTACAGCAAAAATTATATTAGTCAGTCAGAACGAGTTATTAAAACTTGTTTCAAAGATCACGCGGCGCATTCTCGATTTTGTAGACTAGAAATGTTTCGTGTCTCATATCACGTGAGACCAATAGCTAACACATGACTTCTGGATGATCCTAAAAGTCCTAAATTGTAAAGAAACAAAAAGTGTGGTATAAGAATTATGCCAGAGACAGAGGCCTCATTCCAAACACATCATTGTCCACTCTTCTATAAACTGATCCCTTCAGAATAAGCAGAAATTAGGTAACTGAGAAATCGTCGATGTTAGGTTAGTATCTATTTAGTGTTACAATTATAGTAATCATTGTTTCACATGCACCGTTTTGTTATATTTTCATCTATTGATTGCAGAATCGCTGGTGTTTGAATTGGTGGCCAGTTTACTACTTGATAAACGAAAATAAAAGGCTCGTAAAATTGTTCACGTTAATAGATACTTGTTACTCGAAACTTTTATCAATTTTGGAGATCTACCAAGGAATTTTCAAACGGGTTTTCATTCATAAATTTGTTTGCGGTATTAGTGGAAACTTATTTTCAGATGATTATTTTAGTGTTTCAAGAATCGCGTTGCAATAATCGTTACAATGGTTATTTTTAGTTTTATTGAGTGTGGTTGGTCAACAAGCCGGGGCTTAGTTTAATTTATTTTTTTATAACGTTTATGTTTCGTTGAACAATTTTCATCTTTTTTCGATAAATATGCGGTAAAAGTTTTTGCGAACAATGTTTCATAACATAGATGTCTAACTGAAAAATTGGAACTACACTTTGTTATTTATTTCAGCCACAAGAAAAAGAGTCTCTTAAATACTGGGCGTTTTAAATTGAACTGTTTTTCATAATTACACAGTTTACAAAACAGTTCCCTACGAATATACTTCTTATTTGGATAATTAGGATAATTTGTATTGAACAAAACTCTTGAACATAATATACATCCTTTTGTGACATATTTACTTTCTCCAGACTGAAAAAAAATTTAATTGATACTTCATAGAGATATTGAAAGGATCATAAAATCTGTAATTGAAAAATAACGAAAATTCAAAATTTATTTATTTGAGACCACATATATCGTAACCAGTAGACTTGACTGCCACATATGTTGAATTTATTAATACGATTTCTTAATAAGATTCTGATCATCACCGTACTGAAAGTCTTCTGACGCATTTTCTTAGTAATAGATGGATTAATGCATGTCACACATTTATTCGTTGAAAGAACTGATATTCATCCGTATTGTTACGTTTTTCCCTGTAGGTTTACCAATAATCGACTAAACTGAACAATAATACAACTTAACTTTATTTTACTTTAAATACAAAACACTTCAACTGAAACTTCAACTATCATTCGAATGTCTCACTAGATCGCTTCGCGTACCGCACTGTAACTTCCACTTGACTGTATCGATATGCTGGTGGCTAGCGTTTATATATCGTAATCGAATGCGATAGAAAATTCGCCGGAATTCCATCGAAGTCGGTAGCATCGAGAGCGACACCGAACATCGTACATTCGCGCGCTCTCAGCTACGTCACAATTGGTTTATTGCTACCAGTGGCGGCTGGCATTATTTTCTTTAAGGAATGATTTACAACAGTGTTTTAACCAATTTTTAAAGATTATGGTAATAAATTGGTATTTCTGTGTAGAGCGCATTCTATTTAATGTTACCCTGGGTACATGATGTGTCTCTCTATCACTTTGCAAATTTTTCGTTCAGTGTTTATTAATTTACATTTTAATCCGTAGGTATATTCTAACTATATTTTTGTTAGGTTCATTTTTGACGAGAGGATAGTATATTTTGGGGCAATACAATTTTTTACTGATTTATTTACGTTTTATAGTGGAGACGTGCGTTTTGAAGTTTCCATTTATGATACTGTATGTTTTGATTGAATTATATTGTATTAGGTCGTTTCAAAATTAACAAGGGATTTGGCAATGATAGTGTTAATGAACGCACTGTTCGACTTTGGTCGAATTTGGTTTGGATTAGAAGACCCTGGTGGAGACTGACCCATCACAAACAGTGTGTGGGATGGAGGAAGAACTAGGCGTAAGCTCCCATGCGGTTTTTGATGATTTAAAACGTATTGGAAATTTCGAAAAGCTGTGGTACAGGGGGCGCCCCACGATTTGAACGATCAACAGAAATTGTCACGTTTCAAGGTGTTCTTTGCTTTTGCGCAACCCTAAACTATCCTTTTTTGGATCGTCACGGCTGATGAAAAGTAGTTTCTCTACGACAACTTGAGACGTTCAGGGCAGTGGTTGGACACCGATGAGCCACCCAGGCACTTCCAAAGACTAAAATCTACAACAAAAAGACTATGGTTACTGTACGGTTGTCAGCGGCTGGTGTCACATCAAAGCTGACGAAATGTATCGAAAATTGCGTCAGCAGCAGCAGTGGTCAACAGAACAGGTGCGACAACGCCCGTCCGCACATTTAACAAATCACCTTCCGAAAATTGAACAAATTGAGCGTCGAAGTTGTGCCTCACCCGCCATACTCTCCAGACCTTTCGTCAACCGACTACCATCTTTTCAAGCACTACGATAACTTTCTCATTTATATAACCATCGCCAATCAGGACCAGGCAAAAACGACCTTCGTAGACTTTATCGAATCCCGAGTACACACGTTTTATGCTGATGAAATTAATCGACTCGTGTTGTGTTGGTAAGAGTAAACTTATTCAAATGTCGCTTATTTCGATTAAATTGAATAAGTGGGTATGTACTGGGATATAACGGTTTAAAGTAAAGATCTTATTACATGGATATATAGTATACTTGATATTCTTATTAGTCAATGGGCTATGCTTGAAGACTGGCAATAAACAAATCTAAAGCAAATGGAACTTCAAACGTTCAAGCCAGTCTCTATATACCTACACAGTAGGTTTAATGGACTGACGCCTATCAGAAAACAACTACTCCCCTGGCTAATACCACGAAGGGCGTTNTACCTTGAGTTGAAGGGGTTATATTTTTTAGGAGTGATTAATTTTTGGGAAAGAAAGTTTTTGGCTTTCTACTACTCCATCTTGATACAAAAAAAAAGAAGGATGAGGGAGTCTTCCAAAGAAAGGAAGGAAGTAACTCTATACATGGATGTGTAGATCATGCAAAGAAGTAACTTTCTTACTTCCTTCCTTTCTTTGGAAGACTCCCTCATCCTTCTTTTTTTTTGTATCAAGATGGAGTAGTAGAAAGCCAAAAACTTTCTTTCCCAAAAATTAATCACTCCTAAAAAATATAACCCCTTCAATTCAGAAAATATTGTCTTTATAAAAATAAATAAAGAAGCCTTCTTCTAATAAAGTATATATAATACATTAAAAATATACTTAAACACAATATATAAAATAAATTTTCGAAAAATTCTTGTAATGACTGAAATGTCCTGGATTCCAAATATTTTGATAGGGAGTTTTTAAAAACCCTTAGATGTGCAGAATTTATCCGGCTTCCAAATAATATGATTGGTTAAAATCATAGCCCAAAGACAAAGCAAAGCAGATAGTGTGCTTTCTAGGCTAAACCATAGTCACCTAGGCGGTGACATCTTCCCTTATGAAGACGACATCTGTGGGATGAGTATCAAAGACAAGTGTGGCTCTCTGAGGCGGTCCATTAAAAAGTCAAGCTTCAATATTGACCTACGAACAAGATTCGTTCTCGACATACAACACTAATAAATCTTCACAATGCATAAGAAAGGGCGAGAGTATTACCTTTTGAAGTGTCGTCTCTAGGTCTTTCAACAGGTTGACCCTTGTTAGGGCTGCGTAAACGCAAGCGAGACATAAATGGAACCACCTATTGGTTTGACCAATCAACCGACTACTGCGTATTACTATTACTATTACTATTACTATTAACCAACGTATTATTATTATTATAAAGGATGGCCTGTATTTATAGACGATACATTTCTAACAAAAATAAATCAGGTTCAGTTATAGTTTACCCCAATTGTTATTCATTTTTTTTCAGAAAACGATGATGATGAAGATGAAGAAGAAGACTATGAGGATGATAATTATTTCAGGATGCCTCAGCCAGATCCGTCGATAGATACCAGCAGGATAGATGAGATTCCGGCAAAAGAACCTAAGCTGAATGCTAAACCTCTGAAGTCTGCGATGAAAAAGAGGCCAGGAAGTGGACCCGGCACTCCTACGCAGGAAAACAGGCCTCTGGGAATGAGACAGCAGGATTAGACCTCAGTTTCAGCAAGAACCTCTTCATTTGGTGAGCATTTTTTTGAGGTCTACGAACAGCCAGTAGTGGCTGAGAGCCAAATCTGGCTGATAGGAACAATTCGAAGTCCATTTTATGCAATCTTGCCGTCGTTTTCATTGATTTGTGATATTGTGCATGGTCTTGATGAAGCAACACTTTCTTTTTTTTTCAAATGGGGTCGATTTCTTGCAGTTGCGGCCTATATATGCACCACTGTTGATGGTATTTCCCTTTTTAATATAGTCGATGAATATTACATCACGCACATCTCAAAATACCGAGTACATAACTTTTCCAGCCGATTGATGTGCTATCAGACGCTTTGTACGAAGTTCACCAGTTGCTCTCCACTCAGATGATGATCGTTTTGATTCCAGAGTAAACATATCTACACAAAAATTCGGTTTGTTATGTTCAAACATGGCTACAAACTGCTCAGAATCATCAAGACGTTCTTGTTTTTGGTCATCAGTGAGCTCGCACGACACCAACTTTGAACAGAGCTTTCTCATAGTCAAATGCTTATGCAATATAAAGCCAACACGTTCCTTTGATATATTTACAACGTCAGCTAACTCACGCAGCTTCACTTTTCGATCATTCAAAACGATTTTGTAGATTTTTTTATGTTCTCTCCACTTCGTTCTGCATCATTGAAGTCTCTACGACCACGTTTGAAGTCAGCAAACCAACATTTAATTCTCAAGCCATTTCTTCGCTTGATCTCACAAACTTATCAGTAGAAAATCATGAAATTTCTACAGCGGTGAATGCAATAGGACTAGGGCCATCTATGTATTAGGCTCGGGACTTTTTAGCCCATATAGTACATTGCTATAACAATCAATGTTGTCTGAGTTTCAGTGTATTGTTGATAACCAATAACAAAGAAGGTAACAAATTTAACCTGAAGCTATTTGTCACAGGTCAGGAGGGATTCTCTCTAATGATGTGTGTCTTAAAGATTCAGATTGACTCGCAGTCCATGAAGAATATTTTTCTTTTGGTAAAATTCATTCAGCTTTCATTCATCATGTGAAATACAGTTTTTGGGTGATTCTTGAACCAGGACTGATGATAATTCCTTCTCGTTTCTAGTACAAGCAAACCGGTACGATTTGGCTTGCCAACCACTATTGAAAACAAGGAGAATGCCAGGCCGAACATAATTCACGAAGATGATGACAGCGACTCAAACGATGGTCCCATTCTGTACAGAGAAGATGGAAGTTTATCAGAAGAACGTATGCTGGCTCTAAAAATAGCGAGGAAAGAAAGTTTGTCGCTCAAGCTCGCTCTTAGACCTGACAAACAGGAGCTCATCAACAGGAACATCTTGCAAATTCAATCGGACAATGAGAGACAGGAGGCCAAGGAAGCTATCGGTGCAAGGCTGATCAGAAGGTTGAGCATGAGGCCTACACAAGAAGAGTTGGAAGAGAGAAATATTTTGAAAAGTAGGTACCAGTAAGATAGATATACTGATGACTTGGAATTCTTGGAAAAGAAAGGTTTTTGGCTTCCTATTTCTCCATCAAAGAGTGAGAATCTTCTAAAGAAAGGAAGAAAGCAGTTAATTTAAAATATGAACTATTTACAAAGATGTGTTGCATCATGCGAAGAAGTAACTTTGAAAAACACAAACTAGAAACAGCTACTTTCATGTATACATTGAATTACACATTGTTCAAGTTTATCATTCATAATATTGTGGAAAGTTATTAGTGAAAGTCTATAATGTTCTGATCATCATTTACTATTATACAGGGTGCCTTTAATGTTCAATTAGTAAGGGACCATTTTTGGGAGAGACTAGTTTCTGCAGAAAAAAGTTTTTTGGCTTTCTACTTTTCCACAATTGAACAAAATTTCAAAATTCCTTATAAAAAAAGGAATATAATGAAAGCTGTTTATAAGGAAATGCAAAAGTTTCTTTTAGTCACAAACTGGAAGAAAAACCCTTTCAAAACAACTACTTTCATATGAACACTGAATTACAAGAAAAACATTTTTTCCATTTAGTTTGTATTCCAAACAGTAGTTTTCATTTGACCATTGATAAAGTACAACGGTCAAGTGACAAATCATAAAATACCTAAATACAATACATGAATTACGCATGTACAGGATAGTAATGGTTTAGAATAAATATAGACTTGGTATCTGGTAAAAAAAAGGAGTTTAAATGTCATCAAAAACAAAACAAAGTAATGAATTGTGATATTTTTTGACAGTCGGTCGAGTGATTTTCTTGAAATTAGTGTTTTTTCCATTATGATTTAAAAAAAAAATCTTTTTAAAATCTGTTTTTCCGTTAATCAACTGTCGCCCTGTCGAAGGAATAGTGAATTGTAATGCTATATTATTTGGGCGCTGATGCAGAAATATGTTTTTTGTCTTCCCGTATGTATGCTACAACATATCCTATAGAAGTGATGAGAAAATGCTGAGTTGAGCATTTGGGAAATAAGCAGAGATTTAGAGATATTGAAATATTCAGTTGGCAGGAGTTTGAAATTTAATGAATTTCATCAATATCAACAGCACCAGACAATGTGAAATAAAAAAGGGAAATAAGAGATTTCCGAAGAGCATTTTGTTCATTGATGGATGTACCTTCCGAAGAAACATATTCATTAATAAGAGTTCATTATTATAGTATCAAAAATCCACATGAACTCCTGTTAACGACAAGATAAAAGGGGACTTGATATATGGGGCTGTATTGTTGATATTTTTTCAACAAAAATTGAATAAAATTGAATAAGTAAAAGTAATTTTATTTGTCTGAGAAGACTTTTTTAGGTTGATAGAACACCTTCCTGAACACATCAAAAATGAAATGCTGTTTTCATTTTTGCCATTCAGAAAATGTATTGAAGAGAATGGAAAATATTTTGAACATGGATTTAAAGATTAATTGTTGCTTTATTTTTTTGATTAACAATACTAAACAATGATTATTGTAGAACTAACTTAAAAAACTTAAATAATCGAAAAACTGTTAGGAATAATACATAGTGTAATCTTCAGATAGGTAATTTCATATAGAATGCATCTAGAAAAAATGTTATAAACTAAGATTGAAGTGAATGATAATCAAAATAACATTTGAAACAACCTGTTTAATAATGAATGATGATCAGAACATTTCAAGGTACTTTGGTGCCTCCTATATCACTTTACCAAAAAAAAATCAGATCTTTGAAGAGACAGCTTAATTACATGTATTTCGTTCATAGTCTGCATCACTCTTTTTAGATAGGGAGATGAATAAATGTTTTTGTCATTGACAAAAAATGCAACACACTGTTCATTTGAACTATTTTCAAAAGTTTTTGGTGATGTAAAACTTATTTCATATATATCAGCATTATCAATATATCAAGCAAATAGACATTGGAACATCTGGTATAATGTCCAATGTTCCAAATACATTTTTGAGAATATCTATCAAAATATGTGTTATGTCAGATTTAAGTAGCAACAACTAAACAATGCAAATGAGTTCAATATATTCTCTTATCCTCATTCTATTCAAAATAATTCGTAGAAGTATCTTTCCACAATCTTTCAACTTCCCAATATTTTATATTGTATCTACACTTTAGCCTTCACATAATTTTTTGTGCACAGAACAAAGTCCAGCTGAAGAGAAGAAACAGAAAGAGGAGAAAAAAAGTTTCCTGTTGCGCAAGCTGAGCTTCAGACCGACCGTCGAGGAACTGAAAGAGAAGAAGATTATTCGGTTCAACGATTATATCGAGGTGACTCAGGCTCATGATTATGATCGTAGAGCTGACAAACCCTGGACCAGATTGACACCGAAAGATAAGGCGGCTATCAGAAAAGAGCTGAACGAGTTCAAAAGTTCTGAGATGTCGGTTCATGAAGATAGTCGTCACTTGACAAGGTAAGTGTTGTAGAAAATAGATATTTCATGGCTAATACCACGCTGGATATTAAATTATATCCAACAGACATTTATGCACACATTTAACACAAAGATGTCTACGCTATATGGCCACCAAATTATACATTATCTATGGTTTGCCACTTCATCGAGTGCTATGTCCGATTTTAGCATATTTCATATGACAAGTACTTAGCTGAGAGTCCTTAAACCAAATTCGACACTGATAAAAATGTCTTTGATTTACAACAGTTTGAAAATATTCAATAAATGAAATCTTAAAAATCACCTGGTTGACTGCACTAACGAAATACTACGATTGACTATATTTTTTGATTTCATTAACATTGGCAACATTTATTTTCGATATAATGTTCTCTAAAAAATTCAATCAACTTTCTGCTTCAGATATGTTTTCAATGTTAGTTGTGGCATATAGTTGAGTTACAAATGTGATTTATCAAAAAGTTTTTTCTTTTTTGTCTATGTGACTCCTGAAATTGCGTAATCAATATTCGTAATTTGAATTGAGAGCTGAAAATAGTGCTTCAGCGAAATTGTATGATAATTTTATTTTTTTTTTTTAATCTTATTAAATATGAATAACAATGCTAGGTAATCTTTTTTTCAATAATTTTTTCGAAAGCCATTTATTTTCACTAAAATCAATAAGGGTTCTTCTGTTGATTCACAAATTTGTGAAATTTAAAATTGAAACTTTTCTTACTCCTGGATTTCATGATATAATTCGAGGATTGAAAAACTTGAAAATCAAATGAAACTGTTGAAATTGCTTTTGGACTTTTTCATTTTATAATTACTGAAATAATATACAATTTTTATCAACACATTTGTGGTTTACATAATTTTTTTTACAGAATGCACAGTGTTCGAACAAAGGTAATTACGAAACGTAGAAAAAGGAGTATTGTTGGAGGGACGAGTCCTCTTTTGTTTAATCATTTAATGTACAATGTAATTGCACAAAGGAAAAGAATACCTGCAAAATTAGAGGTTTCGGTAACTTATATAGAAGACTGGTAATTTCGAATAAAAATTTTTGAGTAAGTTTCAAGTAACACAATGTTATGTTGAACTAATCCTTGTCGAGTCTTAAGCTTACTCAAAAAAATTTTATGTTTTTCTATAAGTACAGATATATTCGGTTTTACTATATAGTGTGTTGAGTACCCTCACTTATTTCAGGGAATAATTCCTTGTAATAGTTTTGCCAAGCTATCTCAAAATCTATATATACAATTTTATTGGATGTCGTTTTGGACTATTGACATCCTTTGTGATGAGTAAAATCAATAAACATATAATTTAAAACACCCCAGATATTTTTTAATAAGTACAATAGTTGATGAAATCATTCGATCGTGAGTATCTGGTATCTGTTATGAACGAATGCTTCAAAGATGAAAATACATATTTATACATTTTTAATTTGAAGGTTTTCATCAAGAACAATTCCGAACGTATATCCTTTTCAATTTAATACTTTTTGTGTTTTTCTACTTACCAAATTTTCTGTCTGTTCTTTGGAAGATTACTTCTATTGAAAAACAACAAATCGCCTGTTTTGCATACAAATGTATATAATTTTAGAAGTATTCTAGAAACCATGAAAAAACTTTCAACCTGTAGTTGAAGAAAATATTTTGTATACAATTGTAAAGAACCAGGTGGTGTATTTGTTTATGCTTCTGTCTTTTGTGGTTATATCAAAATTTGATTCGTAAACAAAATTAGTTCTAGAGTTTTAGTCAATAGTGCTGGTGCTGGTTGGCAGAAATGATTTTTTTATTACACTCCTTAAATTCATCATAATAGTGTAGTTTTCAAACTTGTGAAATGTTTCATTTATTAGTAACGATTTTTTATTTTTACAGATTCCATAGGCCTTGACGATTGCAAGGCGGATTAGAGGAAAAGCAAATTACTGTGATGGGCATAGTTGTAGTAATCTTTCCCATAATCGCTTACTATTAAAAAAAGGACTCTTCGTTAGAACGTTAAACTTGGCAGATTGTGTAATTGTTTTTGTACATAAGTGATTTTTTATTACACAGTTTTTATTATTATGATTATTGAAAAATACTGATTATGAATAGTGAATGTAAATTTTCTCTTTTTTGTTCGTTTGTCGTTCGTTGAAAACACAACTTGTTGTACATACATAGCGCGATTATATATTATATACATAGTTGATACAGTTTTAAATTTTCAAGATACATCACTGAAGTGCAAAGCTGTGCTGTTAGTGGCAATATTTGTTAATATACAGGTTGCTGCCAATGATTCAAACATTTTGTCTAAATTTCTCTGTTACAATAACACTTTTTATTTTATTGTGAGCGAAATACTTGATAAGTACTTTTGTATTTCATTCAACGTATATCTTTTTAAAATAATTCATTTCATCCATCATTTGGGATGATTGATCCTTAAATTCCCATATTTTCAGAATAACATCTAGATATGGAGGACTAGGAATTAACTTACATATTTCGTGTGTCATATTTATTAGAAAATTTCACTAATGAAAGGGGAGAAAATGAATTTTCTCTATTTCTTTGCCACTACAGGTTGTTTGAAATTGCCAGCAGCCGGTAGTTAAGTTATTTTAAGTTGTTTTATACGTTTCACTGCAATCCTATAACGTAATGTATAACTTCTTGAGTTATTTTAGCTGATTTTAATTGTAATGATATTGACCTTTCTTTGCTACACATATTTTCTGTTATTTATTAAGCTGAGATGTTATATTTATGAAAAATCATCAATTTTTATGGTTTCAGTATTTTAAATAAATTTGAGAAAGGAAATTAGGGATATTTCAATTGAATATACCTTTTTGTTACAAGTTGCAACTTAGAGCAGAGAGCTGTAATATTAGAAGGGTGTAAATGAATTTTATGCAAGAAATTGTTACATCGCTTGTAAAATAGAGATTTTCCCAATGCTTATAAAGAAATGCAATATGCTCTATGTGAACTATACCTAAACTAATTGTAATTCATACTCAATCAATTTATACTGATTTTAATAACAAGAAGTGTCTTCCAAATAAACGAGACATCAAAATATCATGTGTTATTTCTAAAGTTCCCAATGGAAAACAAAAAAAATCTCTATTCATGCAATACGCCATATGCAGATATTTTTATGGGCAGAAAGCAATCCTTTACACTACGCGAAAAAGTCTCGGACACATATATGACGCTAGTCTTATTGAATCACCGTTCAAGCGAAGTATGGCTTGAGGAGTATTATAAGAACTCCGCTCCATCAGAAACGACAAACGAAGTTGGTTTGCCGACTTCAAACTTGGTTGTATAGACACCGGTGATGCAGAATGCAGGGGATGTCCAAATGAGGCATTGACGGCAGGAAACAGAAAACAAAATCGTTTACAATGATCGAAAAGTGAAATTGCGTGAGTTAGATGTAAAGATAGCAAAAGAACGTTTTGTCGTTATATTGCATGAGCATTTGACTATGAGAAATCTTTGTACAAAGTGTGGTGCCGCGCAAGCTCACAGTTGAGCAAAAACAAGAACGTCTTGATGATTTTGAGCAGTATTTGGCCATGTTTAAACATAACAAACCGGAATTTTTACGTTGATATGTGACAATTGATGAAACATAGATCCAGTTCAATAAATGGAGATTGAGACCAAATCCGGAAAAATCACAATTTATCATTTTTCATCACAGCCCTTCCGATACGCTACCAACAATAAACATCAGCAATGAAATGGTAAGAAGCAGGCAATCAGTAAAATACTTGGGAGTTAACATTGACCAAAAAATCAACTTGAACAGCCATACAAAAATGATTAAAAAGAAATGCATCAATAGAGGAAAACATTTTCGGAGTCTGACATTTAAAAAAGAGGAATCAACACTAAAACTGCAACTAAAATATATAAAATGATCTGCTGCCCACTTCTCGAATATGCACATGTAATTTATTCAAGTTGTTGTAATTCTGCATTAAAAAATCTCCAAACAGCTGAAACATCTACACTAAGGAGTATTACCAAAATGCGTCACCTTCAGAACATACTACACAATCCCTCAAATGCACTGCTTTATAGAACTACAAAAGTGAAACCTACAAAGGGGAGACTATCAGACCTAGGAAACTGCTTTGCCAAAAATGAAACTAACATGGGGACCCACAGGCATTATGTAGGGAAAGAGCTGAAGGACAACTATCCAAATTCGAATACCCGGAAAAAACTATTTGGGAAAACATCAAATCGCTCTCATAATTTATAATATTTTTTTTGTCAGAAATTTAATGTACCTCTCAAATCTATTATGTAAGCATATGTAAAAATCACTGCAAATATTTAAAAATTGTACAGTTGGCTGAAGGACTTCGGTTGATGGCCCTTTGGTATTCACCAATATATGACATTTATTATTGTTATTATTTTACTTCACTCCGGAACCAAAACGATTGTGATATGAGTGGTGAGCAACTGGTGAACTCGTCCAAAGTGCACGAAAGCACAACAATCGGCTAGAAAAGTTATGGCTTCAGTATTTTGGGATGTGAGTGGTGTAATATTCATTGACTATCTAGAGAAGGAGAATACCATCAACAGTGAATATTATATAGCGTTATTGTAATTACCCCATTTGAAAAAACAAGTGCTGCTTCATCAATAAAATGCACAGTCAGTGTTATTGCTTTACGAGTTTGAAGTTTGTACCTGTATTCGTACCTGCACTTGAACCTGGAACATTGTTAATTTTCCAGGTTCAAGTGCAGGAACATTGTTAATGTTCCAAGTTCAAGTGCAGGTACAAATACAGGTACAAATGCAGGTACAAATACAATTGATTACCTGACAAGGCATAAATACGCTTTACGAAGCCTAAAAGGTAGTTATCGGACAGCAAGCCATGATGGTTAAACCTCTGAAGAAGCTAGCCACTCGCGCCAGCGAAACGTCAGGAAGAAATTCCAAAAATCCACGGCTTTCAAACTCGAAAAGCAATAACGCTGAAAACCTCAGCCGTGAAAGTCTAAACCATTTTGTCAAAAGGCACAGTGTCGCAATTTAATGAAAAAGATGGCAAAATTGCATGAAATGGGCTTTAAATTGCTCCCGCACATTCAACACGAGATTAACAAGTTTCCTTGAATCTCGAAATCTCTTAGGCTCATCTCAACATGGTTTTCGACAAAACAAGTCTACCAGTTCTGCTATGGCAGAATTATGTTTGCAACTATATGATGCTTTGAACTCAAAAAACATTTCTATTGTACTCTTCTTTGATCTGAGTAAAGAGTTTGATACGGTCAATCACAATCTCCTAGTGATGTGAGCCACTAAATTGGCTCACATCGTATCTCGAAAATCGAAAACAAGTATTGATATTGGGTAGTGCAAAATACCCGGAAAAAACTATTTGGGAAAACATCAAATCGCTCTCATAATTTATAATATTTTTTTTTGTCAGAAATATAATGTACCTCAAATCTATTATGTAAGGATATGTAAAAATCACTGCAAATATTTAAAAATTGTACACTGGCTGAAGGACTTCGGTTGATGGCCCTTTGGTATTCACCAATAAATGACATTTATTATTGTTATTATTTTACTTCACTCCGGAATCAAAACGATTGTGATATAAGTGGTGAACAACTGGTGAACTCGTCCAAAGTGCCCGAAAGCACAACAATCGGCTAGAAAAGTTATGGCTTCGGTATTTTGGGATGTGAGTGGTGTAATATTCATCGACTATCTATAGAAGGAGAATACTATCAATAGTGAATATTATATAGCGTTATTGGAGCGGTTGAAGGCCGAAATTGCGGAAAAATTACGCCATTTGAAAAAACAAGTGCTGCTTCATCAAGAAAATGCACAGTCAGTGTTATTGCTTTTCGAGTTTGAAAGCCGTGGATTTTTGGAATTTCTTTCTTACGTTTCGCTGGCGCGAGTGGCTAGCTTCTTCAGAGGTTTAACCATCATGGCTTGCTGTCTGATGACTATCTTTTAGGCTTCGTAAAGCGTATTTATGCCTTGTCAGG